ATTTCATAGGTATACCTATGAAATGAACTGAAAACCTTTTTCTAAATCAGTTTTTAATGCTGATTCAGAAAAATATAGTTCGAACCTTCCATCTTGCAATACAAGCACAAAAAGTCAATTTCATCAACAACGATGACAAACAACGTTGATCTTCTACAAAACATCCGTGATCTTGTTCCCGTTCTAATGGAAAGAATTCCAAACAATAGTTTATTTATCACAGGTAGATTTTTGAATTAATTGATCCATTATAAAGTTCTCTCACGATGCTTGTAGATGCAGTGCCGATACGTGTCGTCAATTTACTATCAAAACACTTTCCACAGCCTTGTAGTCATTTATTGACAACGAATGTAAGACATATTTAACTCAAATTCAATCTCCTTCATGTCCTTCATTCATCAATCTTTAGGATCCAATTGTACCGGAACCATGTATTCGAATATCAGAAGATAAATTCGAAATCTTTGTCGATTGGTTAATGATAACCGAAACAACAGATGCTGCCACAGCAGTGGTACTGCTTGTGGCGATGTATAGTATATTTGAGATTAAATTCTCAAAAAACAATCGAACTGCTCGTCTTCTGTATGGTCTCCTTCTCAGAGATACCAATGAACTCGGCAAAGGTTTACGAGTGCTGTTGCACTCGTGGGAATTTCCACTAGACGACCAATATTCTGACTGTCAGATTCCAATTTTTCCAGCCTATAACAATCAAGACCTGTCGTCGGCTGAACAACCAATATCCATAGCAGCAACAACTACAGAAGCATATCTGAACACCACAAATCACGATGTCCATCGATCAGTTTTATCGTCATCTATTTCGGACAATGTTCATCGTCATGATTCTTCTCCAATCCCGATCATCCATGGTGATATCAATGATATTGATCAGCCTCCCATGGTAATTGCTATGGAAGTTGTCGTCCAGAATGATAAATCAATAAAAGACAACGAAGAGAACGACTGTCGCAATCGATTCCTTTGCCAATTCATTCATTCGATGTTCCGCCTCCAGCTCAAGGTAAACGAAGAAGACAATCACCGGTTGAAAAACAACCACAAGGTCATCAACGCGAAACAAACGTAGTAAATAATCTCTTCCCAAGAAGTTAATCCCGATCGATACGTATGAAAAACATTTCATTCTAACCATCTCGATTATCGTTCCATTCATATAATGACCGTTCTTTCATCTCAAAAACGACTATACCTTTGTCTTCCAACTTATTTTTCTCTTGTACTTGAATGCTTATTCCTAAAATAATAAAAGATGATCAAGTTTTCAAATATTTCACCCAAATTTTTCCACTTTGCCCTACTTTCAAACGCATTCACTCACCGAACAATTCTATCACCTCCGACCGCTTCTTTTACCCTGAAACATCGAACGTCAGCATTCATGTAGTATGATTCTTCACCACAAGCTTCGCATGTCTACCATTTTAGATCGATCAATTTGTTCGTCGAATTTCTTCTTCTCTTTTAGATAGAGCTAATGATGATTCGTATCTCGTCTTATTGCTTCTCGATGATCAAGATTTGGAATATAATATAATGCGATCGTGACGGGTTTTGACGACAATTGTTTCAATGTGGAAATGACTCAGAGGTGTGATTCTGGCTGGGAGTGTTGGCTGAAATGCGAAGAATGATGGATCGGATTGGATTTTGGACGCGTTGTGTGTGGGAGATGGTTTGAAACTACGGTATGAATTTCTGATAAAATGATGGAAATTGAACACGATTATTAATGGTTCTTGGAAACATTTTATAAGGTTTCGAAGAATCGAAACCATCTGGAGGTTGAAACCTTGAAAATTGTGTTACAGAACTATGATCTTATGGGTTCCATCGAGATTTTGTAGATGGTTTTTCGAATGGTGTATCTGTTAACCATTTGTTCAGTAAAAACTTTTCTGTGGCTATCGGAACTGCCTTCGGTTTGAACCTCTCGGGGGTTCAGAAAATGGTACCCAAATCTAGAACTTTAAAAAGTTCCGTCGTATTCCTTTTTTTTTAGAGTGTAGAAAGATTCGAGTCATTTTGCTCCATGAATTTCGATTGGGTCATAAAGCAACCGAAGCAGCGAATAAAATATGCAGTACGATGAGGTTCGGTGTCCTGTCCACCCGCACAGCACAACATTGGTTCGATCGATTTCGTAACGGAAATTACGAACTTGATGATCAACCTAGGTGTAGAAGGCCTATCGAAGTCGATCTTGGTCTTTTGAAGCAGCAGATCGAACAAGACCCGCGGCTAACGACACGTTACTTAGCAGAGCTTCTCGGATGCTCTCATGCCACGGTAGAAAAACATTTGGCTGATCTTGGTAAGAGCTGGAAATATGGAGTGCGGATTCCACATGAATTGTCGCCTTATCAGCTCCAATCAAGGGTGGAGACGCGTATGGATTTACTCACATCTCATCGTAACCATCAATGACTGCGCAATCTCGTCACTGAAGATGAGAAGTGGGTACTCTATGTTAATCATACGCGCCGACGACAATGGCTTAGCAGTGATAAAACAGGAGTGGCAACGCCCAGAGTGGACATGCACGCAAAGAAGGTGATGTTGAGTGTCTGGTGGGGCATGCGAGGAATCATCCATTGGGAGCTTCTTCCTAATGGTTACACAATCACAGCTGATCCTTATTGTCAACAATTGGATCGTGTTGTCCAAAAACTAAAAGGATATCAAGATCGAATTTACTTCCTTCACGACAATGCGAGATTCCATGTGACAAAGTCGACTCGTGAAAAATTACTACAGCTCGGTTGGATTACCATCCCCCAGCCACCTTATTCGCCGGACGTAGGTCCCACTGACTATCATTTGTTTCGCTCTCTGTCCCACTATCTGTGCGAGAAAAAGTTCGACGACGAGAACGACCTAAAAACCGCTCTCACAACTTTCTTCAACCAGAAACCCTCGGACTTCGATGAGCGGGAGATCTTTTCTCTTCCAGATCGTTGGCGACAAGTCATAAATACGGATGGTGCATACATAGATGAGAACTAGTTCTCATAGAGAAAGAAAAAAAATAAAATGAAAATCTAAGAAAACAAGCAAAAACTTTCTTGCCAACCTAATATATCACAAAATTTCGTCTGATAAGATACTACTGTGCTTACGATGAAAAAATAGAAGGCTTGCGAATAATTAATGCCCAAAATTCTCTTACAACACTTGATTCTATTAGAAGTTATCTATTATTCACAAAAATAGAGCTGTAAAGATGGAAAACCTGCTGCGACTTAAATCGAGTTGATATCAGACAAATTTCAACTAAACGTGGTTGTAAGTGTTTATCATTTCATAAGGTAACATATATATTTCAATACCAGGATGACACGTCTTCCTTCATTTACATTCAGTCAAAGCTACATTAGTTCACATTGCGAACAATGATCGTATATGTATATATAGGCCTGGAATCATGTACTGTTCTAATCTGTGTGAATTTATTTGCTGATGATCTCAACGTACTTATATCTCCACCAATATGCAGAGGAATTAAGCTGATGAATAAGTTTTTACAAGATGAAGGAACAAAAATATGTAGCAAAATAGCAGATTGTTGTAAGAAATGGAAACAACCAGTTAATCTGTCTAAAACAGCCGTGCAAGTTTTCCATTCGTAGGTACAAAATCCAATAGTTGAGGTCTACAAGAAAGGTCAAAAACTGGAAATAGTTAAAGAATTTAAATATTTAGGTTTTACTTGGACAAATAAGATGCCGTTAAAACCAACGATTGATAAAACCCTCAAAAATATTTAGAAAACGTTTAGTAAAATAAGATGGATGGAAGGTGGTAAAACCCTCTCAAAGGATGTGTTGCGAAGATGTTTTTTTGCCTATAGTTTTCCATATTTTGCCTGGATATTCCTCCTATATCCTGTCTTATCTAAAACACAGAAAGAATTACTTCTAAGAAAATTTAGAAACGGGTTAAGATTAGTTCATCGCTGTCCCTTTGCTAGAGCAACAGATCTTCTTCGAATAACCAATGAAGAGTCACTAGAAGAGTATGTCAAAAGATACATAAAGAAAAGATTAGAACGAATACATAAATCTGATCTAGGTCGCTCGCCTTTTGACAATGATATTTTTTACTGGGATGCGTTTCATAGAAGAAAAAATGATCACCTAGGTCACGTTTTTCGGATGAAACGCGTCAGACATATGCGTGAAAGGCATCAATGTTTGCTTCTTCAATGGCTTGAATTTTTATCGAGGTGAAATCTACCATGCTATTGTAAGTCGATGCTCTTTCTCTTTCTCTTTCTCCTTTTTCACGGCATCATTCTCCTTCTCCTTTTTATCACATGTTATACACAAATGTGGCATCGTATAAATCTAGTGCGTTGTTTTTTTTCTGTATACTTCGCTCATGGTCGTATTAATCACACAGCTGTGAATGCTTACGGTATTCTTTGTAAGCACTTCCGAGTGCAACAATAAAGAGCAAAATCAAAAACAAGCGAAACCGATCTTTCTTTCTGTGCCTAGGCCTTCTCTGACTTCAGAATTTTCTTCCACAAAGGTGAAAAGATCCATGAAGTGGTAAAAGATTCGACTAAAATGTGTGAGACAGCAGCAGATTTTTATGAGGAGTTTTTTCGAAAAACAGATAATATAGTTAGACCACATCCTTACGTCGACGCACCGAAGACGGATTTTAAGAATAAAAATGAATTAATTCCAGAGGTAACATTTGAAGAACTTCTTCAAACTGTAAATTTTAGAAGGAAAAAGAAATCCCTGGACGCGCACGGTCTGTGTAATTTCATGTTCAATTTCTTACATTTTTCTCACTGGTTACTTCTCCTTCAACTCTACAACCTTTCCTTTGCAAAGGCTATTCTTCCAGTTGCCTGGAAAGACACAAGAATTTTGCTATTAGCAAAAAAAGATTCTATATGTTCACCTTCTCAAACTCGACCGATATCGTTATTAGATTCTTTCCAAAAAGTGGGCGAGAAGTTATTTCTAACAAGATTTCGTGATGTATTGAACAGGAGAGGTCTACTTTAACAACAGCAGGAATTCAGGACTTCAGAAATTCCCAAATTTAAGGAATACCGAAATTCGGGAATTCACAAATTAAACAACAGCAGGAATTCACGAATTGAGCAATTCAGGAGTTCACGAATGCAGGAATTCACAAATTTCAGAACAGCAGGACTTCAGGAATTAGTGAGTTCAGAAATTCATGAATTCATAAATTTAAGGAAAGCAGGTGTTCAGTAGTTCACAAATTTAACAACGGCAGAAATCAAGGAAATCAGGAAGTCACAAAATTAACAACAGCAGGAATACAGGAATTCAAAAATTTCAGAGATTTAACAACAGCAGGAATTCACGACTTCAGAAATTCCTAAATTTAAGGAATGCCGGAATTCGGGAATTGAGAAATTAAACAACAGCAGGAATTCACGAATTGAGGAATTCAGGAGTTCACGAATGCAGGAATTCACAAATTTCAGAACAGCAAGAGTTCGGGAATTCACTAAATGAAGGGAAGCAGGAATTCAGGAATTCACAACTTTAAGGAAGGAAGGAATTCAGCAATTCACATATATAACAACAGCAGAAATGCCGGAATTCAGGAATTCACAAATTTAAGAACAGCAAGAGTTCAGGAATTCACTAAGTCAAGCGAAGCAAGAATTCAGGAATTCAGGAATTCACAAATTTTAGGAAAGCAGGAATTCACGAATTCAGTAAGTCAACGGATGCAGAAATTCAGCAATTCAGCAATTCACAAATTGAACGAATGCAGGAATTGGGGAATTCTCCAATTCAACCACAGCAGGAATTCAGGACTTCACAAATTTATTGGACACCGGCTTTCCTTAAATTTTTGAATGTAAGAAGTCGTGCTGTTCTTCGATTTGTGAATTACTGAATTCGTCAATTCCTGCTTTCTTTAAATTTGTGAATTCCTGAGCTCCTGTATTCGTGCTGTCGTAAGATTTGTGAATTCCTGAATTTCTGCTTCCCTTGACTTAGGGAATTCCTGAATTCCTGCTTTCCTAAAATTTCTCAATTCCTGAATACCTGCTGCGGTTAAATTGGAGAATTCCCGAATTCCTGCATTCGTTCAGTTTGTGAATTCCTGAATTCCTGTATTCCTGCTGTTGTAGGGTATGTGAATTACAGAATTCCTCAATTTCTTAAATTTCTGAATTCCTGCTTCCCTTCATTTAGTGAATTCCTGAACTCCTGCTGTTCTTAAATTTCTGAATTCATCTGTTCCTGAATTCCCGCTTTCCGCCAATTTGTGAATTCCTGAATTCCTGAATCGTCTATTGCTGCTGTTGACAGATTGGTGAATTCCTGCTTTCCTTAACTTTGAATTCCTGTATTTCTGCTGTTGTTAAATTTGTGAACCACTGAATTCCTTCTTTCCTTTACCGATTTCGTGAATCCCTGCTTTCCTAAAATTTGTGAATTCCTGAATTCCTGTACTCCTGCTGTTGTAAGGTATGTGAATTCCTGAACTCCTGAATTTCTTAAATTTGTGATTTTCTCAACGTCCGATTTCCTATGTTCCTGCAGTTGTAAGATTTGTGAATTTCTGAACTCCTGAATTCCTTAAACTTGTGAATTCCTGAATTCCTGAATTCTTGCTTTCCTTAACTTTGTGAATTTCTGAAATCCTGCTGTGGTTAAATTGGAGAATTCCCGAATTCCTGCATTCGTTCAATTTGTGAATTCTTGAATTCCTGTATTCCTGCTGTTGTAAGGTATGTGTATTCCTGAAATCCTGAATTCCTGCTTTCCTTAAATTTATGAATACCTGAATTTGTGAATTCCTGCTGTTATTAGATTTTTGAATTCCTGATTCCCTGTGTTTCTGCTGCTGTTACATTGGTGAATTCCTGAATTCCTCTATTCCTGCTGTCGTAAGATTTGTGAATTACTGAATTCCTTAAATTTGTGAATTCCTGAATACCTGCTTCCCTTGACTTAGTGAATTCCTGAACTCCTGCTGTTCTTAAATTTGTGAATTCCTGAATTCCTTCTTTCCTTAAATTTGTGAAGACCTGAATTCGCGAATTCCTGCAATCCGTCAATTTGTGGATTCCTGTATTCCTGCTGTTGTCAAATTTGTGAAGGCCTGAATCCGTGAATTCCTGCTTTCGTTAACTTTGTGAATCCCTGAACTTTATGAATTCATGAATTTCTGAACTCCTAATTCCTGAAGTCCTGCTGTTCTGAAATTTGTGAATTCCTGCATTGGTGAATTCCTGAATTCCTCAATTCGTGAATTCCTGCTGTTGTTTAATTTGTGAATTCCCGAATTCCGGCATTCCTTAAATTTGTGAATTCCCGATTTCCTGAAAAACAAGAAAACAACGTCGCTTGACTCATCATCACATCATCGACCAAAGGCATCAGCGTCGACAAATGCGGTGGTGGCAGCAGTGTCTA